TGTGATAGTACATCTCAAATATTTTAGCTTCAGACTCCTTTGTATTCTTAAAAATTATGCAGAGTTCCAAAGAGTAGTTCGTTTATTTGGTTATATCTATTTTTATGCAAATTAAAAATTAAAGCTGAGAAGCTTAATAAATGTTCCTTTGATACAATACCAAAACCTGGTAAATAACATTTTCTTTTCTTTTCTTTTTTTTTGTGGTGCCGGAGATCGAACTTGGGACCTTGTGCTTCCAAGGCAGGTGGCAGAACCACTGAGTTAAATCCCCGGGGCAAATAACATTTTCTTAAAGGTTAATTACAACATGAAATTGAAACTTCATCCATGAAAATTATTTTACTCTGTTGAAATCCAATGATCTACCTTAAACTTTGAGTGGATCTTTTATGGCTTCTTAATATCATCCACTGAGCACTTGCAAAATATTGGATATGAGATACACAGATCTTCTCAATATTGACACATTTCACTGTAACAAGATTTGTTAATATCAAAAATAGAAAAGTTGTCAAAGCTTGTAGGGGCAGATGCAAGTTTTTCATGATGCAGTTTTACTTTAAATTTCAATTTTTTATTACCAAAAAATTTTATTAGTTCTAATAATTGAAATAAGATTCACTACATTCTTTTTCAGAAAAATGTCTATATTTTGTTTGTTAGTCATTCTTTCAAGTAAAATATGCTATTGCATGAGAAAAAATTGGATAGCTCAGCTCAAAACTCAAGTAATCACAGAAGTGTTAAAATTCACAGATGTTCTCAAGACAACCATAATCATACTTCAATACATAGCAAAAGTGCTTTACAAAAACTTTCCACTTTACTACACAGAATATTTAAGAGATACACCTTCAAGTGTTGAAATTTAATATAATTAATATTTTCATGACTTCATAAGGATATTCTTTTTTTTATATAAGGCTATTCTTAAGTGAAACTTGAATTCTCCTTTTTATTGTTAGCGTGTAGCAGGGCAGATTACAACGACTACCTGTACAATTTGGTAATGCTGCCTGGATTCTTGATGTTAATGCAATAGCAGCTTTACCCATTATTACTTTTGCGCCATCAGTGGAACTATCAATATAGTGCAAAAGGGCAAATAACATTTTATGAAAATAGTACCAATCTTATATACCATGTAAGATGGTGTTAGAAAAACCCACTCTCAGTGAACTACATTTTAATAACTGTTGCTTTACAGTGTATGAAGGAAATTTTGGCATTTTATAGGATAGGTCACCTTTGGCTCCAGGTTTCAATGAACCAACCACTATTAGAGGCATTCCCAGGCACTCTCAACTGTGTAGGCTAGTACTTTAAATCCAGAATTTCTGTGTAGCACACCCGTATCATTCGATTAGGCCATGCCCAACATTTCTTCCATCCTGATCTTCCACCTTTAGGATCCATCCCATATATTTCCCCAAGTTTCTATCCATAAAATGGGTAAAACTGCATTTTGGGGGTATATATTATATCTTCCAGTGTATCATCACCTCTATATTATCTTCTGGGCTTGTCAGGACTTGAGTCTTGTTAGAGGTTTAGAAACAATGAGAACATGTTAGGATAGGTTTAAAAAAGATCAGCAATCCCCAGCAAAACAACCACATCAGGACTGGATATAGTGGTTTCTTCAGACAGGGAAGAGTAATCTCAGATAGGAAAGGAAGAAATGCTTTTTCTTGTGAAAAATCGGCAGAATTGGGGGGATAAAGGTCCTATCTTTGTCAGAATTTACCCATATATCCCCATTACAATGTAAGCTGAACATTTAAGGCCTGAACTCATCATTTTCATTCTTTCAAGTCCTCTAGCACACTAAGAAGCACCCAACTGTCTCCTTTGTACCTATTTTTACTAGAAATGTTCTATGGCAACAGCTGCTTTGTCATGAAGAAGCCTTGACTTCTGAAAATTGACTGCATGTTTTTGTAAGTTGTAGATTATAATATAAATAATTTACCTCATCTTGCCAGTCGGTCAGTATTCCTTACCACTGGGAATAGAGTAATTAATGCCTTTAAATCTACTCAGATCAGAGTTACAATTCCAGAAAACCCAAAGTTAATTCAAAGGACCCATCACAAAGTTTTCTGTGAAACCAGAAATCTCGTATCAATTTCTATATTTGTTAGAGTTTGATCAGAGAAGCTGAATGATGAGTTATATAGGGTAAGGGATTTTTTTAACAGAGCTAGACTTTCAATAGGTATACAAGCTGGTTAAGCAATCTATTGAAGGCTATTGATTCTGTATCTAATGTTAGGCCCAAAATCATCAGGGCCAGGAGTAGGGAAGGAAGCCAGGCATAAGCAGAGGGAGAAGCAAGTATTTGTTAAGTGTTTACTATTGTGTTTCCTCTATTCTATGGGACCCATAGTAATGTGCTCTGTCTACCTGATCACCACTGGCCTTGCTGGCATTCATGTCTAAAGTCAGTGAGTTACTCAGGTCTTTTTTGGCTCCAGTGGGACAATAACCATTCCTAGCATATAGACTCATCTGAGGACCCCTCTGTAATTGTTCTTGATCCAGGCAGTCTTTTCTTCTCAAGGCCTTCTTTGGCAAATTCTCCAGAAAGATTATTAGGTAAACTTTAGTTGAGCAAGCAAAAACAGAATAGGGATACTAAATTTAAAGTAACACACCCCATGTTGATCTAAGAGGTGATATTCTTCCAGAGCTTCAACTAGAAATCAGAACAAAGATTTCTTTCTGTGGAATGCACTGCTTAATTAGGTGCATCTAAAACACTCTTGTCACTGTAGCACATAATTTATGTGTGTGTGCATGCACGCATGCGTGAGAGAGAGAAAGAGAGAGAGAGAGAGAGAGAGAGAGAGAGAGAATACGCAAATTAGTACTCTACAACCAGCAGTGTGCTGTGTGCTGGTAGCTACAGCTGTGGAAATAGAAGGTCCCGGTTTATAGGGTTGGCCTATTTCTGTGGTGTAAGCAGTCCCATTATAGGTGATTTCAAGCTATTAATGATTTAACAATCTGCTCAGAAATTTTCAGAATGTTTTACTAGAGATCTTGCTAACCAGTAGAAGCTGACTCTTGTATTCTGCTGCTTGGATCCTTCATCTGCCTTTATTTTCCTTTCACTTACTTGTCTCTTCTCACAACTAGTCAGGGAGAAAGAATGGACTTTCTTGTTTTTTTCAATGTGTCACATCCTTCTTCTATTATGGGGTGGTAAGCTTCTTGGCTTGGGGGACCATGTAACTTATCATTTAAACAGGACTTTTTTGAGAGTGAAAGGGAACATTAAATTATTTATTAAGACAATAAAAATAAACCAAGACTAGAAAACCAGAATGCATGCTTCCCCTGTTTATGAACTATTTCTTCACAATCAGAAAATTATGGCTTTTGTAAAATGTGAGATATACTATCATCTGAGTTCTCCATGCTTTCTTCCCAAAGAAGGTTGGGAAATCTTCTTTCTTACCCAAGCCTGGGTGGGTTTGTTGTTGTTGTTGTTTGTTTGTTTGTTTGTTTTTGAGACAGAATCTCTCTGTGTAGTCCAGGCTGCCCTTGAACTGCCTATGTAGGCCAAGCTGGCTTCAAACTCCCTTATCCTCCTGCCTCAGCTTCTCTAATGCTTGGATTACAAGCCTGCACCATCATGACCACCTCCAAGCCTGTTTTTAAAGGCTCTTTTCTTCTTAGTGCTCATCATGAAGGACTACAAAGAAATATCTACATGTTTAATATTTTCACACCTTTTTAAAAGGAAAGTTCCATCTTTGAAGTCTGACTGGAATACAAATTCAGGTCCTGCCATCAAATAGTATGTCATCTTGAGCAAGTTTCTTAATTTCTTGGAGCTTTAATTTCCTAGTTGATGAGTTGGGAGTTCAGGTTTAATGGCATTGTCAACCCTTCCCAGTTTACCCGGGACTACTCTGATCTCAAAACTAAGATTCTGCATCCCAAGAACCCTCTTGGTCCTGGGGAAGGTGGGACCCTTGAACCTAGCTGAGTTGTTACAAAGTGCACATGTGTGTAAGAGTCCAACTCATCTACACAGAGCTGCGGTCCTTACAATGATCTGAGGATAACAGTATAGTAAATGTTTCCAGTTTTACTTTGCTGTAGTTCCATTCAACTGTGTGGGGTGCACCATCTTAACCAAAAGGCCGAGAAGCAATAAGGACAGGTTCACCATCTGTGGACATATCTGTAGATGGCCCATTAAATCATCTCAGTTATATAATTATTAGACACAAAAATTTTTGAACATTAATCTGAGATAGTCCTTTTTCCTTCATATTAGTCTTCAAAAATGACCTTTTAAAGAAAACTTCTGTAATCTTCATGTGAAGGAAAGTCCACACTGCCCAAGGTGAACCTAATTCTCCTCTGCTGCTTTTTTTTGGTAACAGGGATCAAACTCAGGATCTTGTGCTTGTGAGGCAGGTGTGATGCCACTGAGCTAAATCCCCGGCCTCCTCTGCTGCTTTTGTGGGAATAATCACTGCAGAGAAGCAGCAGGACAGTTGAACTGTATAGTCCATCCATACCTCTAGGAACCAGCATGGAGTTGTTCTTTCACAAAGGCTTTATTTAACCAGGCTTAAAAAGAATCTTTCTTTTTAAAATATAACATGAGTTTAATGCTGATGTCAGGAGTTGGATAGCATGTACAAAACCAAATCTTCTATTCCCTGAGAAGACACAGCTGGTGTAGCCACAGCACAAGTCTCTCTCTTCAAAGTGAGAGGCACAACACTGACAGAAAATAACTCTAGAGGGGCCTGTTTGGGCTCAGAGACTCATTCCAACTCAGACACCTCTACCTTAGCTGCCCCATTATTCTAGGTAGAATGAAATGACTCTTACAGAGGCCAAGCTCAGGATGACATCAACATTTTTCCATCTGGAAGGAATTGCGATCACCAGCTCATTTTTTACTAGTCTCCCAGGGAGTAAAGGTTGTGATTTAAAATTACGACTTGGAACTCAGTTCAGAACAAATGACCCTTTATTTCAATTATACCATCTGGTACACACTCAGCATCTTCATTATTAGCTCTTCAGCTAGACATGGCCTTTCTAACTTGGTGGGTAGGTCCTTTGTAGTAGGAATCAATAAACCTGGGAGGGTGAGAATAAACAGCATTAGTTCTTTAAATTCCTTCCATCTCTCTCTGTGAGTAGCTAGAGGTAGCACCAGGAAGGGCTAGGATTAAGAACCAACAAAGCCCCTGGCATACAGTAGGGATAACAAGTGAGAGACCAGGTTTCTAGTTCTGTCAGTGCCACTTAACTAGCTATATGACTTTGGTCTCATTTTACTTCTTTGCAAGTAAGAGGGTTGTATTGAGTCATCTTTGAGACCCTTCTGCTCTCAAGAGCCAATGAATTCTGTGTATCAGCAGCTTTTCTACCATCCCTTCCTTGGCCTTCTTTGTGTTCCTCTCTGCCTTTTGCTAGAAACTGCATAGGCTGATGGGTCAGCCCTGACTGGGGAGGAGCATGATGATGGTTAAGTTTGGCTAGGGTAGAGAACAGATATTCCGTTCCTTCCCTATCCATAAGTGCTGTTTCCCATAGGAATCTTTCATTCTCTCTTGACACCTAATGGCTTTGCCCCCTTCTGGTGACTGCCTCCAGAGTGATCATACTGACCTTTCTTGTGCAGATCTTGTGTTTCTCATTGCCGACCTAGGGGTGTCTGTATGCTGTCAATGGGGTACTAGTGAACTGGCTGTCTGAAAACAAAGTTACGATTTGTAGCATTTGTCCATTTTCATGGTTTAAATATTCCTTTTGTGGTCAATTTCACGCTAACAATAGCTTAGCAACCTGCTCAAGAATTTTCTGAATATGTAAAAATCTCTCACAAACCAGTCTGAGCCAATTCCAGCACCCTGTTGGTCTGGCATAAGTTTTATGTCAGAACCAGACCCTATTTCCTTTATTAGGGCATGGTGCCAACAAAATGCAGTGTGCTTAGTGGGAATTCAAGGGAAGCCCCTTAATTGAGCTTCTTTATGTGCTGGCAAGTACAGTCTTTTTTACCTTCATGGTCTTTCTTATGGAAATCAATTGTAATAATTTTCCAGCTAAGTGGTGGTCCACAACTCCAGTTTTTTTCCCCCTATTTATTATGTCATTCTTTTCAGGTCACCAAATAGTCTGGTTTGTTCCTTCCTTTCTTCTCTGAATACTTGTTTTTTGATGTACAAATACACATATATGGAAACAAAATAACATCTGTGGTTCCCTGCTTCTATCTTAGAAAAAGGTAGACTCTAATTCTGCCTCACACTGGAGTCTTCTTGGGATCCATATTCATCTGTAATTTACTCAAGGACTTCTCTTGCAAGGCCCTGAATGGTGATTTCTGGGAACTGATAGGTTGGAGGAAGATCTCAGAGACCAACCTGCTGTTACTGGCAAACCAGATACTTCTGTAGACCTTTCTCAAAGCTTTAATAAATTAAAGAGTCTCCATCTGTTGGGGTTTTTCTCTTTTCAGTTCTTGTTTAACTTTCTCCTTAACTTTATTGTGCAAGTTTGCTTTTGAAGGCTGTACCAGTTATAGCTCTGGGACAAAGTGTTCCTTTTCCAGGCAGAGATGTTTCATTTGGAGCCAGCCCTGACTTTACTTTCAGTTATAATGTAAGCATGGAAATATGAAAATGAATAGCACAAATAAGGTTTTATGGCTTTTCCAGCAACATATGGAGCCAGGAAAGGCAATAACAGAATTCAATCATTCACCCTCCTTTCCTATTAACTTGATTTTAATTTCTCTTCCAGAATAAATATTTGACAAATTTCTTCATTCGTGTGGAGCTGGAGGAAATGCAATAACTTTGGCTTAGGTGGATTAATACTGCTCTGCTTAGGCAGTTCTGGCCTGTAGAGTTCAGAGTTAGGTTTATGATTCCTGCCAGGCCATACGTCAAAGAATAAAGAAAGACAGCGGTGAGGTTGCTGTGTAAGGGTCCGAGGTTAGGACAGCCGAGAGCAGAACTTATAGGTCAAAACTGAGGCATTGGCAGAGATAAGCTGAACACAAAGCTGCACATCCAGTGCTTATACTCATTCCCTAGAGTACAATCCTGTCCCTATGTGAAAAAGTACAAGACCTCTAGAAATGAAGGGAAGCCTTCAATAAATTAACATCAGTCATATTCTTCATGGACCTTAGGAGTCAAAGTTAGATTAGGGAACAGTGACTCATATGCACACTCCCAAAGGGGCATATGAGAATTCTGAGAGGGCACAGTCAGGGTCAGCTGGAAACAAAATTATGTTTTTCTTGGCATCAGCTGCTTTTGCTATTCTATCATCTATTATGGATTTAATGTTTTTTTCTCTCTCAAGTTCATATGTTGAAGTCTTAATCTCCAATGTGATGGTATTGAACAGGGGGCCTTTGGGAAATAGTTGGGTCATGAAGGTAGATCCTTATGAATAAGATTATGCCCTTTTAAGTAGAGACTCAAAGGCTGTCTCACTCTTCCTTTACCATGGCTCCTCCTCATCATGTGAGGATGCAACAAGAATATGTCCATCTACAAATCAGTAAGCAGGTCTTCACCAGATACTGTATCTGCTCACACCTTGGTTGGTCTTGGGCTTTCCAGCCTCCAGAAATAAATGCGTGTTCTTTAAGGCTTCTAGTATATGGTAATTTGTTATACCAGTCTGAACTGACTCAGATGGACGGACCATCATTTCCAGGGGCCTTCTCTCTCCATCCTTAACTGTGAAACACTGACTCCTTGCAAAACTATTGTGTTTCTAGGACAATGTCATATGATGAGTTTGATGGTTGGTCCTTATGTTTAGATACAAATATTGTCTTTGTACTGGTCCTCTAATCCAATAATGTGCAAACCTGCCTAGGTGCTTATATTCATTTGGGAAATCCTTTAAAATACAGATCCCTTCCTTCCTTTCCCATCTTTGTATAAAGAAGCAGGGCAGTGAGGAGGAGTATTTGTGATCACAATGTGGGAGGTAGCCAGATGGCTGGGGACAAAAGTGGGGAAGATGCAGAGGTGGCGTGGAGAAGCAGCAGCTAGAAGGTGGGGACTGGTTATATTCAGCAAGCAAGTCAATTAAGGAAATAGTTAGATGTACTCAGGATAGTCAGATCTGTGTTTCTTACTATCTGAGATAAGGTTTACAAAGATGGAAATAGGAAAGGCTAGAAATAGTCTAAGGGGTTGGATTAAAATTGAAAGTACTGATATGAACTTATGAATTTCAAAACACACACACACGTATATTAGAGAATAGTCATAGATCCATGTAGCAATAAATACATCTAGTATCCATATTTTGGCTTTTAAATATACCCTCCAGTAATATAAGCCAGTTTTACCTGGGTGTTTGTAAGGTCAGGGCAAAGAAAGAACAAGATGAGCCTGAATTATCTCAACAGAAAATAAAGAAGTGCTCAAAGAATGAATAGATAGGATCATGTCTGAAGGAGATAGAAGTCAATATGAAGAAGCTACCACTGACCCGAATTAGGACAACTAAAGTATCAAATTAAATAATGAAAATATTAGATTAAAATTAATGAATAAAATAAATATTCATGAGACCACATGGAGATAAATAAGTGAAAGTACAAACAAATGAAGAAGAAAATTTCTTTCTTACAATAGGATGTCAACTACTGAATAATAGCAATAAACAATCTCCATTTGACAGTCAACACAGTGGTAGCTGGTAAAGGCAGGAGTCATTAATGAGTAGTAAGCTGGTGGGTGGAAGTTTTATGATGAATAGTAGATAGGGATAATCTTGGAATATGTCCCCCAAAATGCTATTCATATGCAAAGTATAAATGATGGCTTCACAGGGGACAATTTGGCAGACAAAAATTGGGGCAAGTGATGAATGCTGATATGTCCAGTCATGGGGCAGATTGGTTAGAGTACTGCCTCCTGGTGACATGCTCACCAAAAAGCACAGCATCATTTCTCCAGCTTTTCTGCCATGAATCCAAAGCTGGAGCCTGAGAAAACATCCAGTGAATGCAAGTCTGGGCTCCTTAAGATTGCCAGGGACATAGAACCAGAGCCAGAGAAGGGAGCAGAAAGCACTCCAGACTGAAGGAGATCAGTGAGACAGTGGTGTTTCTGGAGAGGAGCAGGGAAGAAGAGATGGTACTGGGACAGTTGGGGGAAACTTGCATGGAGTCAGTGGATTGGAAGACAGTGTTGTGTTGATGCTGCTTTTCAGGCTGGTAAGTGGTATGATGGCACCACAGAAGAGTGTGTTGCTTTAGGGGGAGGACCTACAATCATGAACCACAATAACATTTTAGCCAAGGACAAGCTGCACAAGCTGAGGGCTGGGGCTGTAGCTCAGTGGTAGAGCCCTTGCCTACCATGTGAAAGGCCCTGAGTACTCCACACACAAAAAAACCCAATCCAACCCAAATCAAATCAAACCAAACCAATTTGTGAGGCACAGTGGTACATACCTGTAACACCAGCATTCTGGGGGGCTGGGACAGGAAGATCGTGAGTTCAACCCCAACATGTGCAACTTAATAACAGCAAGACAATGTCTTGAAATTAAAACAATAAAAAAGGACTGAGGATGTAGCTGAGTTGTGAAGGCTCTGGGTGCAATCCCCAGTACTGGGGTAAAAAAAAGAGCTGCAAATTCTTATCACCTAGTGATATCTATGATGTCTGCACAATGAAATCACCTAAAGATGAGTTTCTCAGAAGGTATCCCTACAGTTAAGTGATGCAGGAGTGTCCTGAGATCTTTAGGAGTGATGGTCATGATGTCAGAAAAACAGATTACATATATGAATTTGATTCATTCTTCTCTCTCTCTCTCTCTCTCTATATGTGTATATATATAAACACACATATGTAAACAACACAAATATACATCACTCATAGTAATGCTCATAGAGCTATGAATATACACATTCGTAAATATAGGCTCTTTGAATGAAATTATGCATATATATAAATTATAAATCATGAATTTCGAGTAACACTTCTGATTCCAGCACATAAAAAAACCTATTTTTACCTCTCCATTCTGTATTTTTCATCTCTTTTTTGCTACAAGCCTTAATATCAACATTTTAAATGTATCTATATCTAAAGTATTTTGACCTGCCCTATAATATGTCTAAAATTCTTACAGTTTTTTGCACAATACTATAAAAATAGACCTAAGAAGAATTGAAGATTTGTTTTTCAATTTCTACTCCTACAAGTTTTACAGTTCATTGTATATTGTCAAATATTATTTTCAAAAGTTACTTGAGCTCTCTGTCCATCTCTTTTTCTCTCTTACACACACACACACACACACACACAAACACACAAGATGTTTATTGCACTGATTGGAAATATATTAGGTCTATAACCATAGTACCCTGAACATACCTGATCTCATCTGAAATACATCCAATATACTGATTTCAATTTGCTTTAATTTTATTTCTACACATTTCACCTTTCTATTATTATTGAATGTATTTAGTTTAATTTTTATTGAAAACATAAAACAAGAACAAGGTTACAGAAGTCAAGATTTATCTTTTGTATGTGTCTTTTGTAAAAATAAATGCGTGTATATAGGTGTGTAAATGCTATCCTGGTTTTCTTTGCCTTTTATACAAGTCATACACACATTTGCGCAAATAGACACACATTTGGTGTTCTTTTTACCTGACAATATCTCCTAGACATTCCTCCACCTAACTTCCTAGATATTCAATTTTTATCACGGCAGGTAATAATTATCCATTGTAAAGTGAATCTATTCTAGGTTCTCCATATTAATCTTACTAGATTTCAACACTTTGCAAATTACAAATAATGTTGTACTAAATTGTATGTATGTGTTTTGTGTTGTTAGAATTGTGTCTGCAAAATACATTCCAAGGAGTGGGACTGTTGTACTGAACACTAAAAGCTCATGCACTGTCCTCTCCAAAGGGACTGCTATCATTTTTATTTCCATCAAAATCAGTGTGTGCTTGCTTTCCTATATCCTTGCTAATTGATGAGCTTCTGATGTTTTCCCCATGTCATGAGTGATAAGTGAAACTTTAGTGTACTCTTAATTGCTTTTTTCTCATTAGGAGAGAAGTTAAAATTCCTATGCTTACAGAACATTTTTATGACTTTTGTGGATTGCCTTTTCTGAAATTTTCTGATCTTCATATAAGATACTAGGGCTTTTAACAAAAATTTAGAAGTTCTTTTTATATTAAGAATAGAAATATTACTGGGGATTTAGCTCAGTGGTTCCAGTGCCTGCCTTGCAAGCACAAGGTCCTGAGTTCGATCTGTAGTACCAAAAAAAAAAATGAGAATAGACATATTTTATTTTATTTTATTTTATTTTATTTTATTTTATTCTTCCCCGTTAACTTTATTGGTACATTTTAGGTATACAATACAGTTACATTCATTATTGGGATCTTGTACCATTACGTAAGTCTCTTGGTTCTTATTTTTTTTTCCCCTTCCCTTGCCCTCCCTTCACCCCCTCCACCCTTCCCTATTTGCAAAGACCTTGTTTC